GTAGACGAATGGATAAAAAAGCGGTGGTACATATACACAATGGAGTACTATGCAGCTGTAAGAAAGAAAGATCTCTTATCGTTTGAGACAACATGGAGGGATCTGGAGAGTATTATCTTAAGCGAAACAGGCTAAGCAGAGAAAGACAAATATCACATTATCTCACTTATCTGCGGATTATAATGAATAAAACAAACTGATGAACAAAATAGACCCAGAGACATAGAAGTAGGGACAGACTGACAAACCTCAGAAGAGGGGGTAGGGAAGAGGGAAGAGATAAACCACTGAACTTATATGCATGGACATAGAGAACAAACCTGGGGATGTGGTGGGGGGTTGGGACGGGGAGGAGGTTTTCAATGGGGGAGAAAGGAGAAATATCTGTAACAAAAATAAATTAATAAAAATAATTAAAATAAAAGGAGGAGTATGTTTCTAAAGTAAAAGGACTTTTTGAATCAAAAAGAGCATTATGTAACAATGATGAATATGTTAGAAGTGTTTGGGGGCTGAATGGTAGAAAATTCAATTGGTCTGGGGCATAGAACATGAATATGTATGCAAGCACACAAATGTTTTGGGAAGTATGTGGAAGTACGTGTATGAGTGCTTTTGTGATAAAAGTTCAGGTAGGAGAAAAAAAAATATTTAGCCCTGAAAATATGTACTGGAGAACATGAGTTTGAATATTAAATCTAATTTATGTTACTATAGCTAATATATATATATATTTTTTTTCTATATGTAGCTATATATGTATATATTTATATGCATATACTATAACTATACATATAAAACTATAACTATATATCACTATAATCTATATAACAATTAAGACACAAAGCTTTCAACTTCATAATTCTAGCTAATAGTTGTTGAGAATTATAATTGCCCAGGCTGTTCTAAGGCTATAGGCACCATTACCATCACTATTTTTATAGATAAATTAAGGCATAGGAGAGGATAAATAAATTGCCTAGGGTCACAGGGCCAGTCAAGGGGAAAAGCTGGGACTTAGCTTCAAACTGTTAAGTCCCTAAAATCTAAAATTCTAGCTCTTGCCCTGGTCGGTTTGGCTCAGAGGTTAGAGCGTTGGCCCGTGGACCAATGAGTTGCGGGTTTGATTCCAGTCAAGGGCATGTACCTTGGTTGCGGTTTGTCCCCGCCCTGGTGGGGTCATGTGGATGGGAACCAGTTGATGTGGCTCTGTCACATCGATGTTTGTCTCTCTCTCTCCCTCCCTCCAACTCTGTTTGATAATAAGTAGAAAAATATCCTTGGGTAAGGAATTAAAAAAAAAATTGTAGCTCTTACCTCCCATGCTAGTAACTTTCCTTCTAATTTGACTGTGTCTCACAGAAAGAGATATACTTTGTATTGTGATCCAGGATACATATACAGTTTTGTAAAATGCATTTACCCTTACAATATATGACATACTCTGGTAGTTTCTATTCTAGAAATTCTGATTCTAAAATTATATTTCATTGAAAAATTCTGGTTACCACTCATTAAGTCCATTTCACAATCCACTAATAAGCCATGACCTATAGTTTAGAAAGCACTGTATTATGTTTATTCCCACCCAGAAGGATATGCTAAATGCTAAGTAAGCTAAATGCCAGATATACTTACTAAATATAGTTTCTAGTAATATCATTTGAACAGCAATAAAGTTTCTAGAATGTTTTCTATTCTTAGAATTATATTCCCCTAAATCTTGTGAAATCCGTATTTTTGCATTTTTGAAGAGGTTTAAAAACACCTTAAATGAACATTAACTTGGCCATATAACTGCTGTATCAAGAATTTTTCCCTTCCTTCGGCCTGTCCCTAAATCTTCTAGAGGCAAGCTCTACCAGTACTTTCGTACTTCCTTGATTCATTACATTATTATTGTTATTATTATTTTTAAAGTTCCCTCATTTAGATAAACTAAGGTGTGGTTGATGGAGTTTTTTTTTTTTAAATCCTTACCCAAGGACATGCTTAGAGAGAGGAAAGGGGGTGGGGGTGAGAGAGAGAGAGAAACTGATCAGTCGCCTTCTGCATGCACCAACTAGGAAAGTGAACCCTCAACCCAGGCATGTGCCTTGAGCGGGAATCAAACTAGTAACCTTTCTGTGCACAGGACGATGTTCAACCAACTGAGTTATTCCAGCTGGGCCACAATTATTTGTTTTTCTACTTTACTGTTCTTTGTGTAGATGTTCAGTTTTATGGATTGTACATTACTGATCCTAGGAACAGATAAAGTGTATGCTTAAAACGGTTTATGTATTGTTCCATTCACATACATGCACTTAAATACTATCTACTAATTAATATAGTAGCTGAAAAACTTGGTATATTTGCAAATTGATACAATTTGCACTGGCATATCTGGCCAAATTTCTAGTCTCCTATAAAAAATTCTATATATGATAGATTTACTACCAAACTCAAAATAAAGCTGTATCTTAATTGTTTTAATGCCAATTTTCCCGAGGACTGAGGCGAGATCTTTACATGCTTACTGACCATTTGGCCACCTTCTTTTATGGAAAGCTTATTTAAATATTTTTGCTTTAAAAAATAATGGTGTGATGGTCTTTTTGATGTGTCACCTATTCTACAGGCCCCACTTACTCAATCTAACACTAATGTGGGTATTGCTGTGCAGATATTTTGTAGATGTTATTAAAATCCAAAATCAGGTTGCTTTAAGTAAGGGAGATTACCCTAGATAATCTGTGTGTACCTGATTCAATCAGTTCAAAAGCTGGACTGAAGCTTCCTTGAGAGAATAAAAATTTCTGTCTGCGAATAGCAGTTTTAGTCTACCCCTATGAGTTCTGGCCTGCCCCTTCCCACATGCCTTCTCTAAAATTTCAGACTTGCCTAGACAGCCCCCATTTTCACATAAACCAATCCCTTGCAATAAACCTTAATACATCTTTTTCTTTTTTTGGTTAATCCTCATCCAAGGACATTTTTACATTTATCTTCAGATAGAGTGGGAGGGAGGGGGAGAAAGAGAAATATCAGTGTGAGACACATCGATTGGTTGCCTCCTGCACAACCCTGACCACAGCTGGGAACTGAACCACAACTGAGGTACATGCCCTTGACCAAAATTGAACCTGTGACTCTGGTCCATGGGCCAACGCTCTAACTGCTGAACCAAATCGGCCAGGGCTTTTTTTTTTTTTGGAGAGAGTGGCAGGTAGGGAGGGAGAGAAACAATGATGTGAGAAAAACACATTGATTTTTTGCCTCCCACACAACTGGGGATCAAACCTGCAAACAAGGTATAAGTCATTGACCAGAATCAAACCTGTGACCCTTTGGTATGCAGGCCAATGCTCCAACAACTGAGCCAAACCAGCCAGGGCAAACCTTAATATATCTTATTGGTTCTGCTTCTCTGGTTGAACCCTAACATAATTGGGTTGTCTTTTTTTTTTTTATCCTCACCTGAGGACATTTTTTTTTTTTTGGTTCAGGTACAGTGGAAGGGAGAGAGAGAGAGAGAGAGAGAGAGAGAGAGAGAGAGAGAGACATCGATGTGAAAGGGACACATCGAGTGGCTGCCACCCGCACGACCGACCAGGGCTGGGGACAAACTGCAACCAAGGTACATGCCCTTAGCGGGATCCGAACCCGGGTCTCTCGGGACCGTAGGCTGATGCTCTAACTGCTGAGCCAAACCGGCCAGGGCGGGTTGTCTTTTTCTTATTAATTTTAGGAATTCTTTATGTATTTGGGATATGACCTCTTAGTATTATACGTTATAAATATCTACTCTCACTCCACGGACTTCAATATCTTATTTAACAAAATTGATTTTTTTCTTTTTATTGATTTTAGAGAGAAAGGAAGGGAGAGGGGAGAGAGAAACATTGATGAGAGAGAACACTGACTGGCTGTCTCCTACATGTCCCCCTCTGGGGATTTGGCCCACAACTTGGGCCTGTGCCCTGACCAGGAATCAAACCAGTGACCTCTTGGTGAATGGATCGACGCTCAACCACTGAGCCACATCGGCTGGGTGCCTTTCAATATCTTAATGGTATTTTTAGAAGAAAAAATTTTCTAATTTTAATGTACAATTTATCAATCTTGTCTTTAATGCTTAGTGTTATTATGTCTGGGTAAGAAACCTCTGCCCATTCTAAATCTATATTATCTTCTAGAAGCATTTCTTTTTCATTTTCCATATTTATATCTACAGTTTACCTGGAATTGATTTTTATGTATGGTGTGAGTTAAGGCTCATTTTACTAATACCATATGATCATCAAAATGATTCAGCACTATTTAATGAAAAGACAAGTTTTTTTCCTCCCAGCTATGCAGTAACATATGGGTTCCTAGTCCATTCCTTCAGAGGAAAGTAGCTTCATGAGGCATCAACCAGCTACAAGGGCAATGACATTCTGTACAGAAATAATTTCCAAAAATATTTAAAGGAATGCTATAATTTTTTTCTCCATATGAAAACAATATATATAACAAACAGTAGAACGGCCACTCTTTTGGAAACGGGATGGAAGGGTTTGGCACACCTATCATTAGCTTATTACAATTCAATTTAACAAACATTTAAAAGAAAAATATAGGAAAGTATTACAACAAAGTTTATTCATCTATTTAGAATAACAATATTTTTATCTTGGTTATTTTGATAGACATTTTGACTATAATATTGGGGTAATGACAGAATGACATGGGATAAGAATTAGACTATTCTTTGTCCTCCCTCTTTTAAACTAACAAGAAAAGTCATGGAGAAAATGGGGACTAGCAAAGTTTCTAACTTTAGATGAGCAAAGGTTGGGTAATTCTCTAAAAACTTTAGCTATTGGATAGACAAGGGTATAATACTAAGAAAGATAAGTTGTTATTATTTGACATTACTATCTATAAGGTATACATTACTATACCCTAATAAGAATTTCACATGAATTTAAAAAGTTGTACATTTTATCTATAAAAATATATAAATTTATTCTTACCAGCAGCCTTTTCATTTTGACCCAGAATATTATGCTGTCTTTTCCACGAGGGAACATATTTTTCTTTAGTAGATCTAAAAGCCGCAGAGTGATGATTTTCTTCATAAACAGGACATCTTTGGGTGCAATATAATGTCCCATCCTGCTGGGCAATGATTTGAGTGCCGTTTGAATGATTTATTTTTGCTAAAGTTTGGCACTCAGAAGAACAATATGATAGAGATGGCATCACAGTGACTGAGTCAGAACAAACATGTGAGAATGGAAGACTCCTTTCTTTATTCCACTGATTCAACTTGTGTTCTGTTAGAAGCACATGTTTTGAACTAATATAGTTGTTTGTAATAACGTTTTGAGAATTTTTAGGCATTTCTGATTGACACTGAGACACCTGTATATTTTTATCACTACTAATATCTGGTGGAGGTTTAGGAGGATGAGGTACAATTAATTTACCCTGAGCTTGTGACAATGTGTTGGCTTTGCCTGCAGACTGTGCTCGAATGACAGTGCCTTTTCTGTTTGGATACAGAAACCCTGATTGGACTTGAGCAGATTTTGTGCTAATACCCTTTGCTCTACCTCTTTGTAGATTAGCTTTCTGAGTTTCAGAATCACCATGATGTACAGGAGCTTTACTTTCTTCTCTTTTTGAGGCTGGCCAGGCTTGTTTAGCATTGTTAAAATCTGAAGGTATAAAACAGTTCAAAGACACATGGTTTGTTCCAAATCCTCCTAAATTAACATTTTCAGAGATAGAATCATCCTTGGGCTTTGTTCTATTAGCAGAATTTACAGCACAAGCAGGGACCCTAATTATGTTGCTGGCAACACCACTATTAGTTTGAATGTGGAATGGTTGAGACCACTGTTGATATATTTCTGGTCCATTCTCCAGTGAATGATTATCTTCAGTTTCATCAAACCACCTTAGTTTTTTAATAGTCTTTGGAATTTCTACACTTTTCCCTTTTTCTTTTGTTAATTCAATACTATCTCTGATAGCTCCTGCTTTTTGATTTCCTAACTTAAAACCTTGATTTATAACTGGTGTCTTATAATAATCATGTTTGTAGTATTTAGATTCTTTCTTTAAAATGCTTTTAAGAAACCTAACACTGCTCTCATGAATATTATATTTCATTTTCTTGTGCTGACCAACTAAGTCATAATTAGAACTTATATTAGATGATGATATTTCAGTAATCTTCTGTTTTTTATCTTTTGAATCAGAGTTGTGAGGTACATAGGCAGCTGGAAAAGTGTCTGTAAATAAAGGTAAGTCTTCGTTATTGGAATTAAAATATTTTATCTTTTCATCCTTAACATCTTTCAATTCCCCTAACTTATCAGAACACTGCACTGGGTTGGTTTCTTTTATATGTATACTGTTCTTTGGTAAAGGTTCAGCTGATTGTATATTAGATGACAAAATTAAAGATGTTGCCACAGGTAAAAATGAAGTAGGATTTGAAGTAGTTTTATTTTCTTGAGTTAATTCAGAATATTTAATTTGGTCTGAAGTTGTAGCCATTTCTTGGGTTAGAGAATCTGGAGTGTTACAGGCTTTGCTGAATTTTAATGTTGGGCTCTCAGTAACTAATGGTCTCTCTTTTTTGAATGCCCCAGAAGAGGAGTCAACTGTCCTCACAGTGCTAGTTTCAGAGGCCTTTTTGCTGTTTTTATCATGTACAGATATGGGTGGACTACATACAAAGGCTACTAAGTTATTAGTAGTATTTGTGGCTCTTTCCGCAGTTCTACATAGAGCAGATGGATTTTGTTCTTTACTATTAGAACATTCACGTGAAGGTAGACTATTAGGTTTACTTAAAATATCTGAGAAAGGTGTGACAGGTTGAGTATTTGGATCATCTAAATTTACTAGCCAATTATTTATATGTTGAGTTTTAGAGAATAAAAGGTTATCTTCATCTAAGCAGCTTAGATTAGTTGATTGTAGATTTATGGATTTGGGCAAAATAGAATTCTGCTGAATTGATGTTGAAGGCTCCTTGTTAGTAAGTGTTAAATAGATTTCTTCATGTTCTCCAGCCTCAAGACTGTCTATACTTGAGAGGGTTTCAGAATTTGTTATCTGATTAACTTCATTACAAAATTTCTGAAAGAAAAAAGAACAAAGTTTTATAGTTTAGACATTTTGTAAATGCCAAAATTTATGATTCAACACATTGTTATTGTTGCTCCTTGGCACATCAAATACAGTAAAATGTCTATAAACATATCTATATCCCTGGAGTAGTCCTCAGAGTGATAAAGAGGGAGCTAGCAAAAGACTTTAATAATAAAGTTGTAGCCTTAATTTCTATGTCTAAAGTAACTACCCAATTATTCTAACCACAGTTATAGCTTAGAAAATAATTTGGTTATTGCTAATCCATTTAGAATATGAAGGTTCTTTAAGGTTTCATAACAGCATGTGAGATTCTTAAAAAGTTATTAACAAATGGTATTTTTTCCTGAAACAGTCACTGGACTTGAATGAAGCTCCTAAAGCTCTATGACCCTACCGTGAATTTCCTGTAGGAAGGTCTACATCTTTTTGTAAACATTAATGTCATGGTCTACACAGTAGAGTTCTCAACCCTGGCTGCATGTTTGAATTATATAAAGGAGTCTTGCTGATTTAATACTATGATGGGGTCCATGTTTTGATATTACTTTTTATTTAAAAATTCTCCAGGTAATTCTAATGTGGACTTAGGGGTGAGAACTTGATTTAAAAAAGTTTTTATTGATTTTTTTAGAGAGAGAGGAAAAGAGAGAAAGATAGAAACATCTATGTGAAAGAGAAAGTTTTAAAATACATTTTATTGAAGATACTTATCTATAATAAAATGCACCTATTTTAAATGTATAGATCAACTATTCACCCATAAACACCATACCAAACAATATATAGAACCTTTCCATTTGCCAAAAGTTCTCTCATACTTCTTTGCAGTCAGTCCCTACCACTAACCACTAATTTGCCTTCTGTTGCTATAGATCTGAGTTTTCATCTCATGTAATTTTCCTTCTGCCTGAAAAACTTCCTGTAGCATTTCTCGTAGTGCAGATGTTGCGGGAGTGCTGTTGCGTTAAGTTGTTTATTGGAAAATGCCTATTTCACCTTAATTTCAGAAGGATAGTTTAGTTGGATACAGGATTCTCAGTTGGTCATTTTTTCACAATTTTAAAAATATTTCATTGTCATCTGGCTTGAAATTAGCGGTCCACCTTATTTTTGTTCACATCCATTTAATGTATCTTTTTCTCTTCAGGCTTAATTTGACTTTGATGTGCCTTCGTGGTGTGTGTGCATGTCTGTGTATATGTACGCATATATGTGCACACATGTACAAGCTTATCCTTCTTGGAGTTTGTTGAGTTTCTTGGATCTGTAGGTTTATAATTTTATTAAATTTGAAACATTTTTAGTTACTGTTTCTTTAAAATTTCCTTCTCATCTTTGAATTTTATTTAAATATATGTTATATTGCTTCTGTTTCATAGGTCAGTAATGTTCTATTCATTTATTTCCAGTCTTTTTCTCTCAATGATTCAATTGATAATTTTTTATTGCCATGTCTTCGAGTCCACTAATCTTTTTGTCTGTTATGCCAACACTGTTAAGTCCATCCAATAAAATTTTCATTTCAAATATTATGCTTTCAGATCTAGAAGATATTATAGTTTCTTTAAAATATCCTTTTTCATTATGTTCATTTTTAATTTAATTCCTTGAAAATGTTTACCAAAATGGTTTTTATTCCTGCTTGTTAATTCCATCTTCTCTGTCATTTCTGCATCTGATTATATTGACTAATTGTTTTTCTAGTTATGGGCTATATTTTCCTATAAGTTGTGATTACATGTTGAATATTGCTAGCATTATGTTGTGCATCTTCTTTAAGAGAGTGCTAAGTTTTTTTTTGACAGGCAGTTGGGTAACTTGTGGACTGTTTTGAGGCTTAACCAGAGAATATGTCTAGGTAAAAAGGGCTTATCTCATTTGTTTTCCCTTTATTATTTTCAAGATCATATTCTGTACTGCCTATTCTGTAATGTCTAAAAACATTTGTTTCATAAATTTTATTCAAAATTACAGTTGTTCATGGCAGGAAGGCACTTCATCATAGCCAGAAGTCTCCTACTTTGTTTTTTAACCCTGCCACTATTGTTTAGTTATTGAATGAATCAGGCCAAGGTTATGAATTTAATCTTGATTTCAGCCTACTAGGAAATCTGATAGATATGTGTAATTACTTATGAAAAATAAAGTACATGACATTTTGGGAAAATCTGTTGAAATCCCACTCATTGGTGGGAAAATAATATGCCCTGGCCTGTTTGGCTCAGCAATTAGAGCACTGGCCTGTGGATCAATGAGTCTCGGGTTCAGTTTTGGTCAAGGGCACGTACCTTGGTTGTAGTTCATCCCCAGCCCTGGTTAGGTTGTGCAGGAGGCAACCAATTGATGTGTCTCTTTCACATTGATGTTTCTCTCTCCCCCTCCCACTCTATCTGAAGATAAACGGAATAATATCCTCGGGTGAGGGTTAAAAAAAAACATAACAAAGTAAGTGTCTAAGGGATAGAACATAGGGGAAAAAATTCAAAAGAATGTTCATGAAAATGTTATAAAATTAAAATTTCGGTGTCCATAAAGTCCTATTGGAAAAAAAAAAAAGAGAGAGATAGAATATAAACCATTTCTTACTAATTGTACCCCCTTTTTATTAAGAACCTAATGTCTACCACATGCATTTTAATTTTTAAGCTGCATTTTATAATTCAGTCTCTAATAGTGACACTTATATTACACTGTACTTTCAAATAGCTTTCATGTTTGTCAGAAAATAACATTCATAAAGCATATTTTTCTAAATATGAGATGGAGAAAGAAGAATAGAGGAAGCAGAGGAAAGATGAAGAAAATGCAAGGGAAAAAACTAAAATTATTTTTCTAGTATCTATGATGAATTTATGCTGATTCACCCACATTCTCTTTCATGGCCTATCCTTGGCAAATGGCATACATTTCTTTAGTGGAGAACACTGCAAAGATGGACAGAATTATTGCTAGATCTTAAAATATTAATACCACATTTATAGTTTCATACTTGCAAACTACGTAGATGCTGATCTTCTAGGAGTTTCTGAGTTTCCACTAATTTAAGCTGGAATGCATCTTTGTTAGTAGCCAAGTTTGTCTTGCTATTTTCCTTTATTTCTTTATCACAATTGATTTTGGATAAAATATGTTTCTGATGCTTCTGGTCATTTTTTGATAGCAATGAAGGCAAGGCATTATCTATAGCTCTGTGAACCAAGCATAAAAAACAAACAAACAAAAAAACGCTTAGTACATTTCAATAAAGTTAACTTCTTTCTATATACATATAAATAACACATTCATGTAGTGTATGTAGGTGTGTCCAGATAATCACATATAAGGATATTGGAGAAATATATAGACATGTTAGCATGAGAATTTAAGTCAGTCAATTTAGAAGAATAAAAATGGTTGTTGGACTGCTGTTCTAATAAAGCATTCCACCATCATGTAGAAATGCCCAATTATTTATGGCTTTGATTATTAAATTCTATTCCTCTGTTGTTTAGGACAGATATGGAAGGAATTCCTATAGATATGTAGAATCATTCCTCAGTTCTTTAAGAGCATTCCTATATGGATATTAATAATTTTCATTACCCTTAGTTCTGAGTTGGTGTCATGGATGGTAGGTAGTCCTATAACTCCAATAGAGTTGGTTGAAGATTCAGGTAGGTAGAAAACATAAAAATTGCTTGTCAAGGTAGGTAGGAATTTCCATTCTAATATACTAGGTTTGGGTGCTTGGATCTTACTCTATGGAGAAGTGTGCACATACTTGTTTTCAGTTGTATCACATATATAAGCCACAGAAGGGTACCTTTAATGTTGAGTCTACTTTTAGTGTGCCAAAATGCCACTAAAAAATCATCAGGGATGACATTATCATCTGTTAGAATTTTGCACCTTCTAGAAACTTACAGCATGTTACATTTCAGCATAAGTACAAAGTGAAAAACAAATAACAAAAGAAGATTTGGGGTGTGGGTGGGATCAGGATGAGATATATGACTGCTGCTACACTAGGGCCATTAGTGTGAATCCCAAGGGCATTTATTCCTAATTCATTTGAATTCAATTATTCAAGTCAGTGAGGATAAAAATGTTTTGGAATGTGATGTATGTGACATATACCTATCTCCAATACCCATATATATTTTTATTTGGACAAACTGAAATAGTCTGGGTCAGTGAGTACTAGATTCCTGACTATCTTTTTGTGACCACAAGAAAATCAGGGAGAGCAAGAAATTATTTAACACAAATTTCTGAACATTGAAAGTATGCTTCTCTCTCCTCCTTTTAGGATTTTCTACTTTTACATATTCTTTCCCCTTCAATCACCCTTCCCAAACAAAATATTGCTAAATCTACAAAGTATCTAATAAACTCAGTTTATTTACCTTTAAAGTTGTCGTCTCTCAACTCTTTCTTCTCTATTTCTTTCTTCGCTACTCCACTTGCTTCTCTTCTCTTCTCTACTTTCTTCCCCCAGTGAGGAGGATTGAAGGGATGGATAGGAATAAAAGGAGATGGGGAGGAAGAAAGAGAGGGAGAGTGAAGCATGGGGGGAAAGGAAGAAGAAAGCATAAAGGAAGAAGAAACAGGAGGAACAGGAGAGGGAAAATCTAAATAAGTTGGAAGCAAACATGGAGAGGGAGTTGAATGCAAAGGTGAGGAAAAAAGAGGGATAGATGAAAGAGGTAAGGATGGGGAGGTAGAAGAGGAAGGTGAAGAAGAAGCAAGAATGGATGAAGAGGAAGAAATCTGTACAGAGGGTGAAGAAGAGGACCTAGAAGTAGGAGGAGATAAAGACAAAGAAGAGGATGGAGAAAGACAGGGAGGTGGATGGGAGAGAACTGAGGCAGGCAGATGGTCTGCAGTGGCCTGGGGCAGACTTGACAATGTGGTTTGTGGAACAGATTGCTGGACTGACTGAAAAGGATCTAAGCTAGCAGGATGTTCAGGCAGTGGAGCAATATAAGAAAGAGTGGGAACCAGTTGATGAGGGGGATGACCGGATAAACTGGAAGGCTTCAAAACTGGGAGAGCTTCCAGAGGGGTTGGGGAAACAACCAGTTGAGCTGGAAGGGAACGGCGAACAAGGGCAGGCATTAGAGTGGCTGGGGTACACTGTTGTGCTGGAAGGAAATGTTTGCGCCTGAAAGTTTTGTAAAATAACTTGCTCTGTGAGTCAGAATCAGGAATGGTTGGAGAACTTCGAGGTGGCAGTGGTAAATGGTCAGGTGGGCCAGAAGGAATTGGGGCTGGTAGAAAAGGGAAACTGCTAGAAAAGCTGGGAGTAACTGGGGCTGGAGGGTGAGGAAGATATTTAGTTGGGTAGGACAATAATGGGGATGGTAAAAAGGTCTTTGAAAGAGTAGAGGGGACAGATGGACGGATAGGCAGGGTATAGGGCTGGCGGGTGGGAGAAACAGTTGAATAGCTTGGAAGAATTTGGGAATGGTGGGATAGCAATGGAGCCCGTGAAGGAGACGGCCGATCAGGTAAGTAGGGATCAGGTGAGGAGACTGCTGGGCAGGCAGGAATGGATCTGCACATGTGGAAAAGCATTTGGATAGGCAGGTAGAGACACAGCCTTGTTAAGATGGTTTTTTGGTTTATTGGGCTGCCTCTAGGTTTTTGAGTAATATTATTTTTTGTCCTTAGGATCCATGCATGACCTTCTTTGTTCAATCACATGCTCTCACATGGGCTGAGAAATGTATATAGCTTATTCAGATTCCCCTTTTCTCATTCCTTGCTCTTAGAATATTTTTACCTCTCAGAAGTCTGGTAGTTATATGGACAATGAATACAGGCTAGATAATTTGGTTTAAAGCACTAGTACAAAGGGCAAATAGAGGTCAAATAAACCACTGCTCAGTTCTGGCCAGACTTCTCTGGGTAGCATGTGGCTTAGAATTTATTGTCTAATCACAAATACATGGATATTGGAGACAGATATCTAATAACAGCATTTAAAGTATAAAAATTTAATATGAGAGTAAATAAAGGTTTTTTTTATCCTACATCTACCATAAGGATCAAGTATATTATCTTTGTGATAAGTATTTGGAATGTGGTGGAAGGCTGATTACCTGTTTAATGTTAGTTCCTTATTAACAGTCCTGTATTTCATTATTTCCTGAGGTAGCTTCGATTTTCATGTGAACATATTCCCTGCTTGTTTTTTTGAGGCTTAAGCTTTGAATGTCTTCCATTTTTTCATATAATTATTTTCTCCTTTGGAAGACCACATTACCAATATCTTAAATTATTTTTATCTATAATTAATATTTCCCGTATTAAAACAATTGTTTATGGGCACTGATATAGCTCCATTTCTTTGGAAGCTCCCTGTTCCTTGGCATTACAGTGATTTGCTGCATAATGACATTCTGGTCAGCGATGGACCACATATATGACTGCAGTCCTGTAGGACTATTAAAGAAATAAAACATTTCTATTGTTTAGTGATGTCGTAGCCATCATATCATCTTAGCCCAACACATTCCTCATGTGTCTGTGGTGATGCTGGAGTAAACAAACCTACTGCACTGCCAGGCATATAAAAGTATAGCACATACAATTATGTACAGTACATAATCTTTGATAATGATAATGATAAAAAGTATAGTAAATACATATGTTACTTATGTATTTACTATACTTTTTATCATTATTTTAGAGTATACTCTTTTTACTTATAAAAAAAAGTTTGCTGTAAAACAGTGTGCCGTGTTACACTGGCAGCAGCCTTATACGTCACATGTTTACTGTCTCTTGATTGCATAATTTTTTCTTGTATTTGATTTAATCTCATGTTTTGTACAGTAACATGCTGTACAGGCTCATAGCCTAGGAGCAGTAGGCAATACCATACAGTCTAGGTATGTAGTAGGCTATACCATCTAGGTTTGTGTATGAACACTCTATGCTGTTTGTACAATGACAAAACTGCCTAACTACACACTTCTCAGAATGCATCTTGGTCATTAACTGGCACATGACTTAATGCATTTTAGGTTTATAGTCCACAGAAACTGTCATTTTAATGTAACAATAGCCCATCAATATTTTCAGCTTAATTATATTTGTGATAAACAGTACATATAAATATTTCTATTAACCTTATATCTTATATTTGTATAGCATTTTATAATTTATGGAGCATTTTCACACACATTATTTAATATTGTTAGCTATCTGTGAAGTTCAACTTTTTAATAAGTAAACCATAGTGTTCCCTCTATAAATTGTATACATCTGTTATTTTCCAAATACATAATATTTATATGTGCATATGTGTATATATAGATATAGATATTATGAATTCAGTTATAATAGTATATTTTAATACAGTATATTACAATAATAGTATGAACACTATATATTCTAATTTAGAATGAAGACAATTTCTCAAAAAACAATGATGATATATGCTATTCAATGGTCCTAGCACAGATTTAGTGTAATGATAACTGTATGTTATCAAAGGGAAACCAAAGCTGTTCTAATATTTTAACTCTTGTAAGACTTTAAGAAACTGTACACTGTTAAAATAGTTTATCCTTTCATTCATAGTACAAAGAGCTTTTTTATTAAAAACATCGGATAATACAAAGGATAACAACTGATACACAGAAAAAGAAACCTGAGAGTGTAAAACTGTATATAAAAGTGCACATCATTTCTACACTAAACGGTTTGAAATTTTTTATCATTCTAAATTCCTCCTGGGCCCTGAATTCCCCTCCAATTGTTTGTCGCCTTCCTTTTTCAAACAAGCTTTCCCATAAGTGCTCTACAAATATATTGCCTTTGCTGCCTCAACTTTTATTTGTTCCTTAACACACTGCTATTTGGCTTCTACCTCTACCACTTCAATGTACTGATTTTGCTAATAATTAACTGATTAACCTAATAATTTCAAAAAACAGACATTCTTGAGTGCTATCTTTCCTAACTTTAATTCCCTTGGTTTCTGTATCATCATGCTTTCCTAATTATTTTCCTTCTTCTCTGGTTGGCATAGTAAAGACGAGCCCTTTGACTGCTTTATGGCCTGCCATGAAGATTCCTCCTGTTGAAGAATATTGACTGTTGACATGAGATGTTTCCTGTCCTATTTGAAGCCAAACATGGCTAACTGTAGTCATGGGATTTTGACTGCTTAGCTTAACCCAAGATTACCACTGATGGG